CTTAAAATGAAAAGTTACATCTATATGTTAAAAACAAAGACATATATATCCAATAGCTAAATCAAAATCATAGAAATATGAATTTGTAAACACAAAACCAATCATACTATTGGAAGTTACCAGAAAGTATTTTACCAAAATTCTAATTACTAAAATAGGAAACATCTATAAGATCAATAATATCCTCAAAGATTCCAATTATGCAGGATTACCAGGAGAAAATATAGTAGAATCTATTCAAATTTTCAATAATATCTGCAAAGATACAAAAGAAATCAAAAAAGAGCTGTGGATACTCTTTCAAGATATAGTCAAGACATATGATACTATCAGTCTGAAAATATTAACAAAGCAATGGAAAGAATAAAAGTATCTAAAGGATTTATCAAAATCATGATGAGTCTGCTCTGAAATAGAGAGTTCAAATAATATTTGAAGATAATCTCACAGAACTGATAAGGATAGAAGATAAAATTGATCAAGAAGAAACCATCTTAACACTTATATAGAAAATCTTTTATGATCCCTTGCTATATAAAATCCAAGAAAATAAAGAACACGAATATAAAATAGTAGTCTCATGGAATCTTGAACTAAATAGTGACACTACTAAGAGGCTAGAATCAAGATATGTAGCCATAGTCTTTATAAATAATATTACTTGGATAACAAGGTCCAAAAAAGATATGGAAAAGATCCCAGAAATAGCAAGAATTTTTTATAAAGCAAATAACATCCAGATCAATAATAGTAAATTGGTACTAATAACTATCAACAACTCTAACTTCTATTCAGAATAAATTTATACTAAAATTAATAAAGAAGTAATCAGAGAACTAGATAGGAGAAAGCAAGTAAGATTTCTAGAAATTTGGATAGGCAATCAAAAAACTGTAATAGAACTTAAAGAAAAAGTATTAAAAGAAATTAATATTATTATCAGAGCTCTCAAAAATAAGAAGATAATAAATAGCAAGCCCTCTTCATATTAAATAGAGTATTGATTTCAAGAATAGAGTTCAGAATATAGCATAATATATTGTCCTAGAAAATATACAATTACTTAACAGCAGTATACCACAAACTTTTCAAGAACAAAATTGCTTTGTATAGATCTATCCCTAATAGTATAATTCACCATCCAAAAATATATAAGCTCAAAAGAATATTGATACTTAAAAAAGAAAACCAAATTATAGAACTCTATAATAGAATAAATGATCAAGGTTCAATAGGACCTACTACATTTATTAAATTGAAACAAACACAAATTAAATATTGGGAACCCTGCAATATTTTCTTATATGAATCCTTGTACTATCTTGATAATAAAAGAAATTTTACATTACAGGTCCTAAAGCTAGCCAAGGACTTGGAAATAACTTTTCAAAGTTGGGAGTGGAATGATATCTTCAAATGAACCAAAGGCAACAGTCCAATTCAGGAATATTTAACATCTAAAGAATATAAAAAGGCAATACTATCCTTACAAAACAATAGATTAATATATATAGATCAACTAATAAGTCAAAACCTCATAGAGTTTAGAAATTGGATAATGGTTCAACTTATACAAAACATAAACAAGGGCCCAATTCCAGAATGATATAATATTCTGCAAAGAACTATAACTAAAGAAAGTATAGAAGACCTTACAAAACTCTGGGAAAAGGAATGGGAAAAAAGCCTAAACCTGGCAGAAACAAAAGAAAGAAAATTTGAATAGTTATTCAGAAAGAAAGTCAACAACTAGTGATGGGAAAACTAATTCGAGAAAATAGTCAAGATATAGTCACAATCTGTCACTTTAATCAACAAAATTAGAAGATAGTCTAGAAATAGTTCTTACCAAATGCTTAGGATAACCTTCTAGATAATAGAAAGAGAAATGAATACAATATAAAAGTAAAATCAAATGTGATCTATACTATATCATTTCTAAACTATCAAAAAAAATCTAGGAGAGCACAATCACTAAAGATTTCCCGTCTCCTACTTGAGCTTGATAAAATAACAATAACAAGTATAGTTTCAAAAACCCAAGATCAAAGAAATAATCAAATTGAAAGAAGGAAATATGTATTAATAAAAGATTGGGAACAAGAAATAATTAGAGACAATGTTAAATAAGGAGTATATCAAGATCACCTACTTGAAATTCTTTAACATAATCAAGGATTATAGAAGAAACTAACCTTCTACTCAAATAGATTTTTGATCAATTATAGGAATGAAAATGCAAGAATAAGAGTAGCAATAATATAAATTAAAGAAGCTAGAAAAGAAAATAAATTCTAAACAGGAGTTAAAAACTAACCCTTATCTACAAGAGTAGAATTTATGACACTAGTTACAATAGTTTTAATAGTTCCAATAGACAATAAAATAGAAATCTTTACTGATAGTCAGTTTGTATCTACAAATAAAAAAAACTTGAAAAACAAGACTCTAAGATAATACACAAAAGATGGCTAAAAGAAAAGAATTGATTATTATAAATAAGAATACTAGATCTCATAAAGAAAAGACATATTTAACTAACTTTAACTAAAGTTAAAGTTCACTCTAATGATCTATAAAATGAAGAAGTAGACTGATTGATCAAAAAAGCATTAAAGCTTTCAGAAATAGGGTGGGATAATCTCAAATCAAGCAAGCTATCTATAGTAATATTGTGGCAAAAAGATGTGATAAATAGTTTAATTTAATAGTTTATTAAACAAATCAATAAGAGATCAATTGTTTTGTTATGAGCACAGCAATATAGAACAGAAACAAAATGGCATTATCAAATCCAAGAATATCAAACCTATTTATAGGATTTGATATATAATAAGTTAAAGAATAGCAGCATATGTGATATCTCTTTCAAAGGTTTACAAAGAAGAAGCTTCTTGATCAAATTAATCAATGATGAACTACCCACTTAAAGCAAGCCAGTAATAAGAAGACTTGACTTATATAAGTAAATAAGCAGTATAGCATGCAATTAGCAAAAGGAGATAATTAAATATCTACTAGAATATTCTAATTATAAAAATGAGATCCTGGCAGTATAGAAAAAAGGATCTAAAGCATTTTTTAAAAAATTTGATAAGTTATACCAAGATAGAAAAAAAAAAGTCGATAAAAAAGAGATATAACTATTAATTGAGAATAGAAAAGAGAAAGCTGAGATAGATGGATCTTCAAACTCATAGAAGCAGCTTCACAAACTGGTTTAAGAATACTCAGCTTTTGTGTAGGATTAGTAAAAAATGATATAATCAAAGAAGTCACTAACCTAAATTGTCATAATAAGAAGATAGGAACAATGGTAAAAAAATAGATTTTAAAAATACAAAAGAAGGTCTGCAATCAGATCTGTAAACAAGTTTGAAATATAAAATGTGAAAAAATTATAGAATAGGAACAAGTACAAAGAATTAATAGAAAAGTAAAATACAAGAAGACTCAGGAAGTAAAAAGACAAGATACTTTATAAGAAGATTCTAACTATGAAATTACAAGGCAAAAAGAAGATAAAAGAAAAAGTAAAAACAAAAATCTTGTAGAAATTATAAGAAATGAAATTGAGTATAGGACAAAATAATTGGATTTTAATCCTTGTCAGAATCTCGGAAAGTGATTTGCAGTAGTGATCTATAGATGATAAAGTTGAAAGTTAAAAGGTTTTTATTTGAACTACTAATGAAGTAATAAATTTCTTCTGAAGTTGTATTTAGAGTTTTGAATAAAAACTTTGACAAGTAAGTTAGTTAGAGATTTAGTTTTAGCATCATGTATATAATGTATAGCTTACAACTGTTTAATAAAACACATATAACTGATCTAACAGAAGGTTAAAAAAAAAATTACTTATTTAATTGTTTTTTAAAAAAACTTGAATTATTCCTTTTCTATTTTATCTTTTTCTTTTTTCTTTAATCTTATTAATTTATAATTTTTTGAATCAATCAATTGTAACAAACTGTTAAGAAAAATACTATATAATATTAAAAGAATTAATATAATTCTAGAAACTTCCATACTTTTTTATAATATGTACAGTCACCAATGTTGCATACGTAAATGTTACGACACTTTTTTTCAAAAAGTAAAGGTCGTTTACATTTTCTGAAATCTTTGGATCAAAAAAGAAAGATTTTCCAGGTAATTCTAAATATAATATTTTCTAATAAACAGCTTTCAAAATTCACAGTCTTTCATCAATTACTTAGACTCCATCGAACGCTATGAAAGTCATCCCCATTCCAGGTTTGTTTTGACATATTTTTACTTGGAATTTGTCAATATGCAGTATTAAATGTGTTCTGGGTTGCACAGTTTTGACTGATAATTATTCGTACCTTATTGTCGATGAGAACACAAATGAAGGTATGCAGTATGAATTTATCGTCGAATACTTGATAATAAATTAATTTCTTGATAAATTATTTAGCCGCCGTGGTTGATCCAGCCGAGCCCGAGAAAGTAATTCCAGTAGTGAAACAGCAGGGTGTGAACTTAAAACACTTACTCACCACGCATTATCATCATGTATTATTCATTAATTGGTTTTACTCGTATTGGTAAAACTAATATTATTATCAGCATCTGCTCAACACATGTTTTCGATTAATCTTAAATTCCTATAATTTGAATTTTAGGATCATTCGGGAGGAAATGAAAAACTTGTTTCCCAATGTCCGGGTTTGACTGTTTATGGTGGCAACGACCCTATTCCGGCATTAAATCGTATCTTAAAACATGACGAAGAATTTAGAATTGGTAATATTTCTGCAAAGGCACTTTTTACTGCTTGTCATACTCGAGGAAGTGTTAGTTTCTATTTGCAAGATAAGGACGATAAAGCCGTATTCACTGGTATTGTTTCTTTCAATTATGTAAATTCTAAATACCTTTTCGTTTTACGCGTTTTCACATGTAATGTTAATATAAAAGGGGATACGTTGTTTATTGGCGGTTGTGGGAAATTTTTTGAGGGTACCGCCAAAGAAATGTACAACTCCTTGATTGTTGTTCTCGGTTCCCTACCTGATGACACAAAAGTCTACTGTGGACACGAGTATACGGCAAGTAATCTCAAATTTGCCGCATCAGTGGAACCTGAGAACGAGGCGCTCCAAGAAAAAATCAAATGGGCATCACAGCAGAGACAAACTATACCAAGCACGATTGGTGATGAACGAAATTTCAATCCATTCATGAGGGTTGGTGAAGATAGTTTAAAAAAGGCTACCGGAAAAGAGGATCCTATAGAAGTGATGGGGACTTTAAGAGAGATGAAAAATAATTTTAAATAAATTATATTTACTTAATAAGATTAATAAGTAATAAAGTATAATGAAATTACGTTTCATATTCAAGACTGCTTAATTAATAAAAGATGCAAGTAAATACTTTATATTGTATATAATTTTGTTTTACAGTATTTAATAATAAACTAAAACTACAGTTTAAATAAATATCGTTTATTTTTTTATATCTAATATTTTTTAAATGGATTTATAGTTATATATAGAACATTGCAATACCCTTTTAAATTGATTTTCTATAAATATATTTATTTGTTTACCTTTTAATTGCACTTTAAAATATTTATTCGGCATAAAATCACTTAATCAAATTTGGCAAATTAATAATATAAATAAATTGCCAATCAATTAATAATTTTTAAATCTTTAATTATGCAATAAAAAATTATGAAATTTACATATATTATGTCTTAATACTTATTTTATTTCACACGTTTTTTTAAAAGTGTTATTATTATCAAATATTTTTTTTTAACGGGTGGCTTACACCTTGTTTATTAAATATTTTTATGACATTATTATCAAATAATTTTATTTTTTTTTTATTAATTATTATATAATTTATGATAGCAATCAATTAAATTATTTAAAAGTAAAAATTTTATAAAAAAAAATTTTTTTAATAATAACAAACTTTAAAAATTACAATAAAAATTTTTTGAAAAAAATATAATAAAAAAACCAATATTAAAATATAATATATATAAATTTCATAATTTTTGATTGTATAATTTAAGAATTTAAAAATTGATAAAGTTAAAATTTATAATAAAAACATAGTAAGTAAACTCAAACTTTTTTCCGTTGATCCTTTGACCATCCACAAAAAAGATGTTCACAAGAAGTTTTATACTTCTTTGCTAATAAAGTCTTTATACTTTCATTAAAACAACTTAAAACTTGTCTTCATATATTTCTCCTACTCCCCCTTACTTGTTTATAAACTTCTTTGAATAAAAACTTGAGCCTTTAGTGGCCTAAAAAGACTCAAGTACACACTTCCTCTACTAAGGGCAAGAAGGTTCTAGGAAGTAAAAGAACTGACAAGTGAAGTGTCATCTTATAAAGCTAGAAATAACAAGCAATAGAGGTTCTGTTGGCAGGAGAAAACTTATTATCCACCTTCTCACATACTGTCTTATATCCTCTTAAGTGTCTACTATTTTTCATAGTTTTCTTGGGGAATTTTGCCTATCTAAGTTTGACCCTGAATTTTTGGTAGCACAACATCACCTGACATTTGATTGGTTGACATGAAACATGTTAATAACAGAATATAAACAAGCTCCCATTGATCATCTTACGTGTTCCGATGACATCATTGGTGATAGAAAGATTTGATTGGTGCCCTATGTCTATCTCACTTCTCCAATTGGGTTAACCTATAGATCAAGTACCATAAGGCCAATAAGATACAAGTATCAAGTCCCTAGGTAATGAAAAAGCTACTATTTGTTCAAGTTGAGATCTTTCTTTCCTATCATCCTAATCAGGCAAAGTTCAAAACCAAGGTCTCTCTCTTATCCCAGTCAGGCAATAAGACCAAACGGTCTCTAGTCCATGCTAAGCTCTAACCCTTTGATTATAGTTGAGAATGCATTTTCTCAAAAGTTATTGAAGGATATCACAATCAACGAGGATCTCCACCACTCTTGAAAATCTCCCACCATTATAAGGTAAAAGGATTATTGGGAAATCTGTCCTTTTGGATAATGGAAGATGTATACCAGTAAAATTCCTTTAATTAGGCATGGCTGCTGGAAGATATCACACTGAAACAATATGACCTAGTCCCTACTAGGTTACATAAGAACCTAGGATTTATCATAAGTTATCTGTCTATCACAGGTGGATAAAAAATCACTGCCCAAAGAAAATTGGAACTAAGTTTGTCCTAGAAGTAAAGACTCCCACTAGGCGATAAGTCTCTTCAGGCAATACACAAGAAGAAAATCAAGATCAAAAATGGATAAGTTCCTCAGATGGTCAGGAAAAGAAAGAATATCCCAATTGGACATTTCTTATTGAGAAAAGGTCTTGAGAAGCAGGTCTTTTAGGAAGCTGGAAATATTTTTTTCAAATTTTTACTCTTTCATTTTCTTGTCATCTATTTAGACATTTTTAGATATCACCCTCTCCTTTTTTTATCTCATCCTTTTGTAGTTTCCTATATTCCAGTAGCTTGGTATGACATATGGCAGTGACAACCTGCTGGCAATAATTCAATGGACTAGGAAGATTTTTACCCAAAGACACTGCAGAGCAAAATATTGTCCCCGACTGAACTTAGAGGCTTTTATGCTTAAGACGAGTTAGTTAGATTAGAATAAAAGTTTAATTGTAGTATGTATCATGCTACTCGAATAAAAATGTACTTGTGTTTTCAATTGATTAATAAACTGATAATCTAGCCTGGCTACAGATACTCAAAAAAAAAAAAAAAAAAAGTAAATAAACTCAAACTTTTGAAAGCAATTGTAAATAAATTATTAATCATTTTCTACTATATAATTAAGTATTATTTACTTATAAAAACAAACTCTTTCCACTGATCCTTTGACTATACACAAAAAGATGTTTACAAGAAGTTTTTATACTTCTTTGCTAATAAAGTCTTAATAATTTTCTTAAAACAACTTGAAGTATAACTTCTAGAGTCACTTCTATCCATTTCCTATTGTTTATAAACCTCTTCACTCAAAAACTTGACTCCTAGTAATCAAGAAAAGTCAAGAAATACCTTTGATACCAATGGCAAAAAAGTTTCTAAAGGAAGAAAAACTGACCGTAAAGTACCTGAAGGTCTATTTAACCTTTGAAGTAAGAGATATATAGAGGTTTTTGATAATAGAAAGGCTTATTTTTTCCCTTCCAGTCACTGTTGGGCCTCTTAGAGCTATTGCTTTCATGGTTTTCTGAGGAATTTTGCCTACCTTAGTTTGATCCTGAATTTTTGGTAGCACAAATCCTCACCAAAGGTGATTGGCTGACATGAAACACATTAGTTTTTGGAATGTAAAC